TTGGTAGGGGGGGGGGGGGCGCCTACTACTACTACTACTACTACTACTACTACTACACTAGGGTTCCTCTGAGACTCCAATCTTTTTTGGGACGTTTGCGAGTTTTAGAGGTTTCACCACCGCAAGGTAAGGGTGTAGGGCGTACACACACTCTCACAACTCGGACAGTCCAGGCGAGGTCTGTCGGGGTTTAGGGTTTAGGGGTTTAGGGTTTAGGGGTCCAGGGATTAGGGGTCTAGGGATTTGGGGTTTAGGGGTTTAGGGTTTAGGGTTTGGCGGTCTCGGGCTTCGGGGTTTAGAGTCCTGAAATAGGTATGTAAAGCCCGGGGGTTTCCGGGGTTGAAACTGCAGGTCTATGTGGGCACCCTAGTAAAACCCTACACCCTAAACCCTGTTCGGTCGCCTTATGGGCTTGAAGAGTAAATTCCCTGATCCTGAAAGTACATATGGGTAGTTCTCTAAATTAGGGTCGCTTTGAGGGTCCTTTTTATAAGGGTGCCGTACTATATTGGGGCCCTAAAAAGGGACCCTGATTTAGAGAACTACCCATATGCTGCTTGGGATTTCGAACCCTGGCTGATATCGGCTCCTTTTATACGACCCGTGAGTTTCTGATGTAGTTCTTGGGCTTCGTGTCAGGGTTTATGGCCTAGGGGTTGGGATTTAGGAACTGTTCTCCCTGCAGGGAAACCACTGGCATCCGGAAGGTTACTTACAGGATTTAGGGTTTCGCGTTTTGGCCTTCAGCTCTTTACCGGCTAGCGCAAAACCCGTAAGCTGTGCATTCAAAGGCCCCAAACCACTGAACCCTACTAAACCCTAACCCCTAAAACCCAATAACTACCCTAAAACCTAACCCCTAAACCCCAATAACTACCCTAAACCCTAACCCCTAAACCCGAATAACTACCTAAAATCCTAGACCCTAAAGCCCAATAACTACCCCAAATCCTAGACCCTAAAGCCCAATAACTACCCAAAATCCTAAACCCTAAACCCCATAACTATCTAAAATCCTAAACCCTAAACCCGAATAACTACCCAAAACCCTAAACCCTCTAACGCCAATAACTACCGAATCCTTGCCACGCAGCCTGGAGCCTCAAACCATTTAGCCCTCGATTAGGATTTCGACTCACACACTCGCACAAGGCTGGCATGGCAAGAGAAGGTCCCGAGCTTTTAGGATTTAGGGTTCAGGGGTTTAGCATTTTAGGGCTTTAGGGATTTCGGGTTCAGGGGTTTAGGATTTACGGTGTAGGGGTTTAGGGTTTAGGGATTTAGGGTTTAGGGGTTTAGGGTTTAGGGGTTTAGGGTTTATAGTCTAGGGTTTACGTCGAGATGCTACGGTCTTTCAGGCCCTACAGATGAGATGGTTCTAAAGGCTTTATGGCTCAGGCTTTCGAAGCTTCCACCCGAGGATATAAAAGTTTAAGATTAGGCATGCTTGGCCCTTAGCGCCGAAACCCCTCAAGCCCTTGAGCCCTTGAGCCCTAAACCCTAAACCCTCAAGCCCTTCAGCCCTAAACCCTACTAAACCCTGAGACTCCAAGACCCTTAAGCTGCAAGCCTTAAGCCCGGGGCCTTTATAACTACTAGGGTGTTGGGGGATATTATAACTTAATCATAACTAGTAGAGATGTATTAGGGGCTATAGGGGATTATGACTTAGTTATAGCTAGTAGAGACATACGAGGGCCAGGGGCTCTAGGGGAACCCTTCTGGTAATTCTTCGCTGCCCCGCTGTCTCCTAAACCCTAAACCCTAAACTTTAAACCCTAAACCCTAAACCCTAAACCCTAAACCCCTAAACCCTAAACCCTAAACCCTAAACCCCTAAACCGTCTCTTCGGCCCGGGAGCCATGTTCTTCCAGGTGTTGTCCTTGATCTCCTTCCGCAGCTCAGCACGCTCCTTGAGGTAGCGGCCTGGAGGTTCTTGGAGGTTCATGGGTAACTATGAATATACCCTATAATAGGGTTTAGGGTTTAGGGTTTAGGGTACCCTACTTACCCTACTTACCCCAAACCCTAAACCCTAAACCCTAAACCCCACTGACAACTACCCATGAACCTCCAAGTTGACTCTCAGGGAAGCCATACCCTAAACCCTAAGCCCAAGACTGTAGGGTTTTCAGCACTCACAACTAGGCACCACTGGCCGAGGACCCGAGTATAACGACCACGGCACACAGGCCCCACTCGGGTTTTAGAGAATGGGGGTTTGGGATCTTATTATTTTAAATTTCGGATCCCACACTTTGTGTTTTTGAGCTCAGACTCTGCCGGATCCCAAACCCTAAACTTCAAACCCTGTGATTGGGCTACAGGGTTGAGGAAGTTTCGGATCTTGGCGATCAGGGTTTGGAATTTCCGTCAGGAATTTAGTCCTTCGTCTAGTCCCTAAACCCTAAACCCTAAACCCTAAACCCTAAACCCGGATTGCACAGGCCCTGAAAGGTTTCTATGAAGGCTTGTACACATTCCTCAACTTGTAGGATAAATCCTAAGCCCTAAACCTAAACCCTAAACTTTGAACCCAAAACCCTAAACTCCCTAAATCCGAAGCCCTAAACCTAAACCCTAAACTTTAAACCCAAAAACCCTAAACTCCCTAAACCCTATAAGCCCTAACCACCCGCAACACGAAACTGCCTTACCAGCTCTTACTATGCACAGTAGAGGGTCTGAGCAAGGGAACTGTGGGTTTCAATCTTCACCATATTAGGGTTTAGGGTTTAGGGTTTAGGGTTTAGGGTTTAGGTTTAGGGTTTAGGATTTAGGATTTAGGGGTTAGGGTTTAGGGTTTTAGGGTTTTAGGGTTTTAGGGTTTAGGGATACGTCTGGTTATAGGCACCCCCCTCCAACTCCTACCAACTACACTTGCTCTAAGCCCTCTTAAAAAAGCACATCCGTTCTACTAGGTACTTACGGTATCACTTGCTGTTGCGTCAGAATCCACTTGTCCACTTTGCAAATTCGAGCTTCGGATTTTGGAAGGGTTCGGGGGCTTGGGGGAGCGTTGGGGAGTGTGGGGGGGAGGGGGTACTCACGACACTGCAGCGCACGCATGCTTTCTGCTTGATTTTACGGCTCTGTCGTAATGTCCTACCACTTCTCGTTGCGTCAAGGTCCACTTGTCGACTTTGTAAACTCGAGCTTCCAGAACCCCTGGTTGACAAGCGTAGTTGGGAGGGAGGGTGGCGAATTTTAGTATGCATCTTATTATTTCAGACTACATAGTTGTGGTCTAACAAAGGGTTTGCAAGGCCGTTATGAGCTTTTGAATTCCTATGAGGCCTGACAGGTTGTTGGTGTTGAATGTTGAATCTGAGTGCGGCTTGAGACCCCCGGCCTGAAGATTCGCGATTTGGGGGTGTTAGCGCTTCAGGTTTCTAGGGTGTAAGGTAGGGTTTAGAGATTGGGGTTTAGGGTTTAGGGTTTCAAGGGAAAAGGTTTAGAGATTGGGGTTACGGTTTCGTGACTGCGGACGTTGGGCTTTCAGGCTTTGGGGCTCTGGGATTCGTGGTTTGGGGCCAGAGAAACCCACAGCCTAAACTCTCAACCCCAACCCTAAACCCTTGACCCTACCCAAACCTGTGTCCACGTACTCCTCCATGAAGCGGTCGATCTGCTGTACAAAAGCGGTGGCACCGTTCTCCTGCGCTTACTATCGCGCTATTCTCTCGTTGCCTTACTGCCCAAGCGTGTAAACTCCACATCCATACCCTAAACCCTAAATCCTGAAGCCCAAACCCGAAACCCTTAAACCCTAACGTGACCTAAGCCTTAAACCCCACGCACTATAGAAGTTCTGCATCCTGAACGTTACGCCCGAACACCTCGATCCTCAGCAGCACAGGTTCCATTGGCCACACTCACTTAACAGTGTTTAGGGTTTAACAAAAGGGCTTCAGTAAACAGAATAAGGTTCCTGTAAGGGTTCGTCTAGGGCTAGGGGTTCTGAAGTGTCATAGTGATTAGAACGGGTTCTTGGGGGTATGGCCGTACAGTTGTTTTTCGGGCCTAGACTAGAAGCATCACTTCTGAGCTAAAGCGGTGATGCGTTCTTTGCTTGGGCCGTGGTGGAAGTTGCAGTTCATCTCGAGATGCAGGAATTGCCGTTTTCGTCGCTGGTCGTGATGAGGATGACGATAAGCATGATGATGCTGACGACGGTGATGGTCCCCGCTGTCGTGTAGCGGTCTAACCGACAGAGCAGAAGTTCTACTGCCATTCCTGTCGTCGCACTACACCACCACCAACACCAACACCACTGTACCCTTTTGTATGAGTCGGACTACCACCATTATGATGATGTCTTTAGCCCTGCGCTACAGTATGCTTGCTGCACCATCAAAGTTTCACTGTGGTGCTAGATTGAGAAGTCTTGCTTACTATGCTTTCCTCCCGAGTCGGAAGACCTCTCATATCTGTAATCTCTCTTTTGGAGATTTGTTTAGTAAACCTTACAATGGGCCGGGCCCTACAACTTCAGGAGAAACAACAACAGTCAAAGCCAAAGCGGCCAAAGACACCTGGAGGCGCATGTGTACGTACAGTTAAAATGCCTGCGGCGGATGCTAGAATTTCCTGGGTTCTTGTTAAGGGACTTAGTTTAAGCTACCATAATAAAGAAACCCTGTTATTTACCATAGATCCCTATTATGGTAGCTTAGATTAGAGTGCTTGACAAGGACCCAGTATCTGTACAGCCCTCATGACCGTAAGATCCGAAGCTCTACGATAGTGCAGCCTACCTAGTAAAGCCGCGCAGGATGCACGTTTTAGGGCTTAGGGTACAGTTTTTCGTGATCACCACCTATGTCGAAACCCTGAACCCTAAACCCTGCCAAACCCTGGACCCCACGACCCTGGGCCCTGAACCTACACCTGAAGCCCTCAGCGCATGAACCCGTAACCCTAATGGGGTTGACCGGGTCATGCCGGGGCGATGTCATCACGCCTGGAACCCTCACCCGAAGACCCGATAAAGGGGGGGGCGTATGGTGTAGGGTTTAGGGTGTTTCCGTGGATGACTCATGGCTGTTACTATGGAGCCCCTAAACTCCAAGGCCCTTGTTGCTGCTGGACGCAAGTCGTGTCATACCACGACCTGCAGTCCTCTTGACTGAGGCTGAACCCCAAGGCCACAAGCCCTAATACCGAAACGCACGGTAGTCCTTGGCCATGTCCTTTGCAACGGCCGACGCCGTCTGACCTGGTCCCCGAGCTTCCTTCATCAAGCCTGAAATCCTGTAACCGTAAGAGGTCCCTTTGAAGGGTTCTACAAGGGTTTCTGTGAAGGGTTCTATAAGAGTTCTGTGAAGATTAATCTTAAAGGCCTCTTTTCGAGTGCTAGAGGGTCTAGTGGCATTCCTGTAGCCCAAAAGACCCAAAGAACTCTACCCTAAAATCCCTTTTGCAACCTTAGACCGGGAATGTACGGGGAAAAATGAAGGAATCCTACCTTGGTAGAACTCTCGGGCCTTTTTGGTCCCAAGCTGAACTGGCAATCAGCAAAGAGGCGCGATGTGTTTTTGGTTTGGGGCTTAGGGCTTCTAGGGTCTAGGGTTTAGAGTTTAGGTATTAGGGTTTAGGCTTCAGGGTTTTGGGCGTTTTTCATTAGTTCAGGATTTGGTTCGTTTTTTGGCCTTTAAGTCCAGGGTCTTAATGCAAGCTTATAAGCTTGTCGTGTTCGGAGATGGTTAGAGGTCCAGCTTCAAGGGTCATAAGATACATAAGGAGGAGTTAGCTTTGAACTGGGTTGTAAGGGATGTAAGCCGCCTGCAGATCTTCTGTCCTTCCACTCTCAGTATAACCCATAAGACCCTCAAGTATAACTCGGTTGAACTTCTTTGCATCCCTCAAAAAACCCCCTGCAGAACCCTGTCAACACCACATAAGCCTCGCTCTCTTTTACGTGCCATCACTGGGGCCAGGCTTGGGGCACCATGCGCTCCCAGCGCCCAACAACTAACCTAAAACCCTAAAGCCCTAACCCTAAACCCCACAACGAACCTACTAGTAAAACCCTGAACCCTAATCAACTAACCCTTGGTCATTTCCCTTTAGCCTTAAACCCCAAACCCTAATCACTGATCAACTAACCCTTGGTAATTTCCCCTTTAACCTTAAACCCTAAACCCGAACCAACTGACCCTTGGTAATTTGCCTTTAGCCTTAAATCCTAAACCCTCATCAACTAATCCTTGGTAATTTCCCTTTAACCTTGAACCCTAAACCCTAAACCCTAAACCCTAGTCAACTAACCCTTGGTAATTTCCCCGTTAACCTTAAACCCTAAACCCTAATCAACTAACCCTTGTTAATTTCCCTTTAACCTTAAACCCGAAACCCTAATGAACTAACCCTTGATGTTTTCCCTTTAACATGAAAACAAACCCTAAACCCTAATCCACTAACCCTTGTTAATTTCACTTTAACCTTAAACCCGAAACCCTAATGAACTAACCCTTGGTAATTTCCCCTTTAACCTTAAACCCTAAACCCGAATCAACTAATTAGAATAAGGCTTTGGGGCCCATTATACTATGTTCATAATGAGGAACACCCAAAATAGCTAGGTAATTATGTAGGCCCCTATATTAACCCTTGGTACCCTGAACCCTAAACCCTAAACCCTAAACCCTAAACCCTAAACCCTAAAACCCTAAACCCTAAACCCTAAACCCTTCCCTAAGGCCAGCGACGGATCTCCGGCGAGTCGATGCATTTGCGGATGGCAGCAGCCAGCTCCGCGGGCGTGGTGGAGGACATGGCCTTTCCGGGCTTCCCTAACCGGTTTAGGGTTTAGGGTTTAGGGTTTAGGGTTTAGGGTTTAGGGTTTAGGGTTTAGGGTTTAGGGTTTAGGGAGTTTCCGAAAATAAGGGGTACCTTGTTTTGGGGTCTTTATAATAAGGATCCTACTATTTAGGGTACTATATTAGGGTCCCCTATTTTCGGAAGCCCCCATATAAGGGTCCTTTAAGGGATCCATAGGGGTCCTTTAAGGGTTTAGGGTTTAGGGCTTTAGGGGTTTAGGGGGTTTAAGGGGTTTAGGGTTTAGAGTTTAGGGTTTAGGGGTTTAGGCTTTAGGGGTTTAGGGTTTAGGGTTAGATCGGAAGAGCACAC